CMWTKGKTKRARCTATTGAACAAATGCCAAGTTATGCAAAATTCYTCAAGGACATTTTGAGYAAGAAGAAGAAACTAAACGAATTTGAGACTGTGGCCCTAACAGAARGTTGTAGCGCCCTTCTTTCAAATAAAATTCCCCYTAAACTCAAAGATCCCGGGAGTTTCACAATTCCATGTTCAATAGGTGGGAATGAAATTGGAAAGACTTTATGTGATTTAGGTGCCAGCATTGACCTCATGCCATTGTCAGTATTCAATACCTTAGGCATAGGTGAGGCTAGACCAACCACAATTACCCTTCAGTTAGCAGACAAATCCATAGCTCACCCAAAAGGAAAAATTGAGGATGTATTAGTCCAAGTGGATAAATTCATTTTTCCTGTTGACTTCATGATTCTTGATTTTGTGGTTGATAAAGAGATACTAATCATCCTAGGAAGACCATTCTTAGCAACCGGTAGGACTTTGATTGATGTTCAGAAAGGATAATTGACTATGAGGGTGAATGATCAGGATGTCACTTTTAATGTTTTCAAATCCATGAAAGACCCTGATGAAAAAGATGAGTGTTCTAACTTGAGTGTCATTGAGTCCCTATGCCACAAAGAAGGAGTTAACTGTATGTTAGATTTAAGCAAGACTGAAGTTRTTGAGGAGATAAAACATGGAGAGGAAAGTGAGATCACCCTGTTGCAAGAAACCTCTGCTTTTGAGCTATTGGAAAGTGAGAGTGGAAAGACCCATGCCACATCTATTGAGTCACCACCAGACTTAGAGTTGAAATTGCTTCCCTTACACCTAAAGTATGCATTTCTAGGAAAAGAAGGGAGRTTACCTGTCWTTATCTCATCCACCCTAGAAACACATCAGGAAGAGCAGTTGGTATACTTGTTGAAACTACACACCAAGGTTATTGGATGGACCATCTCTGACCTAAAGGGTATCAGTCCTTCAATTTGTCAGCATAAAATCATCTTAGAAGATAAGAGCTTCACTTCCATTGAAACCCAAAGAAGATTAAACCCAATCATGAAAGAGGTTGTAAAGAAAGAGATTTTAAAATGGTTRGATGCTGGCATAATCTATCCAATTGCAAGMAACTCATGGGTAAGCCTTGTACAGTGTGTCCCTAAAACGGGAGGTGTCACTGTAATCTCAAATGAGAAAGATGAGYTCATTCCTACAGTGTAAGCCTTGTACAATGTGTCCCTAAAATGGGAGGTGTCCAATTGTGTCTGGTTGGAGAATTTTGTATGGACTACCGTAAACTGAATAATGCTACTCAAAAGGAACATTTTATTTTGCCTTTCATAGATCAGATGTTAGACAGACTAGCTGGAACGGAGTACTATTGTTTTTTAGACGGATACTCAGGTTACAATCAGATTGGAATAGCCCCGGAAGACCAGAAAAAGACCACTTTTACATGTCCCTATGGTACCTTTGCTTTTAGACGAATGCCATTTGGTCTATGTAATGCTCCCGCCACTTTTTAAAGATGTATGATCATATTCTCAGACATGCTTGAAACTTCCAGGGAAATTTTTATGGATGATTTTTCTGTATATGGTACATCATATTATCAATGTTTGAAAAATCTTGAAAAAAGTCTTRAAAGGTGTGAAGCAACTGATTTGGTTTWAAATWGGAAAAGTGTCATTTTATGGTCACAGAAGGTATTATTCTTGGTCATTTAATTTCAAAAAAGGGAGTTGAGGTTGATAAGGCAAAACTTGAAGTAATTAAAAATTTGCCTGAACCAACCACCGTCAAGGTTATACGAACTTTTCTCGGACACGCCGGTGTTTATAGAAGATTTATCAAAGATTTTTCAAAAATTTCAAAACCTTTGTGTTCATTACTTCAACATGACCAAAAGTTTGATTTTAGTGAGGAATGTAGAAMTKCATYTCACACTTTWAAAAAGGCTCTGGTTACTGCACCCGTGATTGCTACTCCAGATTGGAGTAAACCCTTTGAGATTATGTGCGATGCAAGTGATTGGGCTGTGGGAGCCGTTTTGGRACAAAGAAAAGAGAAAWWWTTTCATTCCATCTATTATGCAAGYAAAACAYTGAAYGAAGCTCAAGTGAACTACACAACAACAGAAAAGGAATTATTGGCTATGGTTTTTGCTTTTGAAAGATTTAGATCATATCTGATAGGAACAAAAATCATTGTGCATACTGATCATGTTGCCATCAAATATTTGATCTCAAAAAAAGATGCAAAACCCAGACTGATAAGATTGATTCTATTGTTGCAAGAGTTTGATCTTGAAATAAAAGATATAAAGGGGGTTGAAAATCAAGTAGCAGATCACCTATCTAGATTAGAGAAGCATACTACTGATTTGAAAGAYATCATAGAGACTTTCCCTGATGAAAAAATCTTGATGTTAAAGCAATTGGAATCACCATGGTTTGTTGATATAGCCAATTATTTGGCTTGTGGCATTAAACCTTCTAAGTACACTTGGGCTAAGCTCAAGAAGTTGTTACATGCTGTAAAGTTTTATGTTATAACCGGGTTTTCTGCAAACATGGGTCAAGGTAACTTTATGTGTTTATTATGGGAACTATGTGATAGTATACATTTTATCTTGATACAAATGCATGAAATACATGACACATGTGTGGTAATATGATATTTAGCATACATATGGAAACATTACATAAATGTAGGCGGTTATGTGATAGAGATTATTATATATATATATATATATATATATATATATATATATATATAACCCAATACTTCTTGGTTAAGAAATGATTGGTTTTAATATATTATCTTCACCGCCCAAAAGACTTTTATATTGGATAAAAACCCATCACTGCCTCATTAAGGTATAAAAGAAAGAAGATAAGGTAAAAATCTTATATGTTTTATGTTTTTAGAAAAGTGAGTGTTTTAAGAAAGAAAGGAATTTAAAGACGGTGAAAGTGTTTTTGAAGGTGTTCTTGAAGAAAGAACMTGTATTTAAAAGAATTGTTGTATTATTATCTGCAGAATCGGTATTCGATTTTAAGGTGAGTTTTTATTAAACTTTTGATTATAACCATGAGTTTTTAATTTGCTGTTTGATCCTATAATCTAGTAGTTACTGATGATTGAGATTTAGAAAGAACTTGGTGAAACCGCTTCTAAACAATTTTGAAAGAAATATTTTATGATTCAAAAATTGGAACTTGTTTTGAAAAGATTAAGCAGAAACTGTTCTTTAGAAACRGTTTTGAAATAACACCCTRTTTGGGAAAAACTAGATGAGTTGAGCAATCATATGTACAGAACARAGTGTTCTTATGATTTKGAAGGTTTGAATATAAACCTATTTTGAGATTATGATTGATTAAAAACTATGAACGAGGTTCACTCTGACAGAAAGGTCTGCAGCCTGTCATTGGATGAAATAGTTTATACGAATTTCAGGGGAAATAAAGATGGTCGTTGTGTGTGATGGATAGTTATTGCTATAAACAKGGCATTTATGGATGTAATAAGGATGGTCAWTGTGTGTGTGCATGGTATAACTATTGYTATTATATCTTTTAAGATTACAACAKATTGGAGTTCTCACTTYTTTGTGATTTGAGGATTCAGAGATGTTGTTCTTATTGGAAATAATAGTATTGATGTTATGGTTACGGGAAAATATGACCTATGGTCWTTAATTTTGGTTAAAAGTATTTTGGAATAGAATGTTCATTTTTATGAGGAACCAAAGGAGCTCTGGTTGGTCCTCACTATTGGACCAGAGGGTTCTAGTTATTTGATTTAAGAAGTATGCATGTTCTTAATAAACTAATTGGACCAGAGGCTCTGTATCTATTGATAAGAGCTTCTGTGTCAAAACCATAATTTAAGAAGTTTTAAGAGAAAGGACTTTATACTTAGTATTTTCTACTAAAAATAGACCAGAGGGGCTCTGGTCGACTTACACGTTGAACCAGAGGCTCTGGTTGGTCATAACTTTTGAACCAGAAGCTCTGGTTAGTACAACCAGAGGCTCTGGTYGAGTAAGAGCTMTGTATAACTATTCTTTTTATGAAAAAGGCTAACTTATTGGTTGGAAGCTTAACCAAGGAACATTATAAGAAATTATATGAGCCAGAAGCTCAGGTTAGTACAACTAGAGGCTTTGGTCGAGGAAACCAAGAAGCTTTAGTAAAGAGACCAGATGGGCTCTAGTC